TCCTGCACTAATTCGCGGTGGTTCGGCCAATTCGTGCTGGGAGCCGACGAAAACATTCGGCAGAAAAAATATGAGGTTCTGAAGAGCATGGATCTCAATAGGATAATTGTCGGCATTGATGATGGAACCATAGATCTGTCGAATGGAATAAATGAATGTCAAATCATTTCGATGGACAACACCCCCGTTCACTCGAAGATCATCCATACTAAGCCCAACAAGAAGAAGAGTGCGCCGAATGTAGCCCCTACTCCCCAGAACCAACCAATTTGCACCGACTCTGCGTTGGGCGCGGCGGACTCCAGGCGTTACAAAATTGAAGGGTCCTCCGTATAGGAACCAGCGGGGATCCCCGGAGGGACAAAGAGGCAGATGAAAGGACGATATCAGGTACCCCTGTACAAAGAAGAGCTCGCTCATCCCAAGGGCGCCCCACGTAGGTGACGCCCGAACATCCAGAGATTCCCGATAGGAATGCCCAACTGTAGGGTCGGCTCGTGGCCTTCCCCAAAGAGCGAGAAAAAGAAGCAAAATAGTCTGAAGTCCGACCAAAGCATCCCCTCCCTGAACCTCGCACCGCACACGATAACACCAAAGGGGACCCCCTGTCCACACACACCTCGTGCACTGCCTGAAGGCAACTTAGGGTCGAATTCTCGTACGTCAAATCCCTACAGACAACCGCGTGATAAGCCCAACCGCCGACCACACGGGTGGGCAAACCTCATTGGTACATCCGGCACACCACCAGAAAAGCCACTCCCATCAGAGGAGACCGCACCATGCGTAGCCCCCCCCAACGGCCCCCGCGACAACTTTAAACCAGAGTGGCCGAGGATGACTGACATTCCGCCCCCTATTGTTCCAGCAAAACAAATAACCCCAAGGACAAACACCGTACAGAAGGGGGGTCCGACCATGTCGGAAGTGGATTAGCCCATGCTGCATCTTTCATATCGCGCTCTCACCCTGACCCCAGCACTGTCATACCCACTGGTCCCGAGACACATCATCCGAACCTAGCGCAAGCACAAACGCACTCACATGGCGCGCAGCCACAAACCCTAACTGGTGCAGCAGCATGGTTGCCCGCACGGCGGCCACGGTGAGGCCGACGCCAGTCGGTGCCGCGCCTAAGCCCAAGACTTCCGAATTTCGTGGGTAATGTCGTCTATCATTGACTATCTATCAATTCGTGTGCGAAGAGTCTTTGGAATACTATTCGAGATTTATGATTATGGATTTCCAAAATCGGTGCAGGATGACGTCTCGGAATAATCTCGCGGAATTCATCAATTTCGGGAAGATCATATTGTTTCATGAGATGGAGGGAGATATGCTTGAGGGGGAATCTCAATAATAATAAGGATTTGATCGAATATCCAAGAGCAAACGATCATAGGATCTTCGTATGATTCTATTCATCGTATAATGAATCTGGACCAATCAGGGATATCTATATTTATGCGAATATGATTTCCTTTGATGATTTTCTTTCCGTCGTTCTGATCGATCGTTCATCTCCTTGAAAACTTTTCGTGGAAAGGATATGAAGCTTTATCTTCTTCAGATCGAAATGAAGATCATGTTTCCCAACGAATATGAGCTCTTATTCGAAGATCGTCCAATCCAATGAGATCGGATCCCCACAAAAAAATGTCGTCAACAAATTCAGGGTCGAAATATTCGGCAACCCCCCTGATATTAGCTCACGTTTCCTCATTTATGCGCTTGCGTGCGAGGCAAAAGAATGGCCCATGAATGATCAATCCTATTGATCCCTAGTTGATTGTATGTACCGATCATAAGTGGCTAGGTGCCCTACAGAACTCGATAAAATTGATAGAGGCGTGAACGAAATGACAATAGTCGTCCAAAAATATTGGGATATGCACTCTATTGAAGGCGTTAGAGATATCTCTTGGGAATAGGATGTAGTCCTCCCTATGGGAATTCTATCGCAAACAAGCCCTAGTGGCGTGGATCATGATCTCAATATTGGATCATAAATGGCGAATTAATAATAGGACGATCTTGAATCCGAATCTTAATATCTAGGAGAAATGAGATTTTGATACATTTTTTCGTTAAATAAAATCCATCATAATCGGATGAATATCTTAGGAAAATGATATATCTTATCCCTATTCATCATTTTTATTTATTCTCATAAGGGGACCACCCCTTATCTACGGACGAAATTCGAACATCCATCAACGAAAATCTGAATGACATCTTTGGGATCCCTTAAGAAGATATCGCCTCTTGGATTTTCAATAAGGAATCGAAATAAATCGATTTGGAGATTATCTGGCGCGGGTTCCTTCCCACATTACAAAGAATGTAATATCTGGCAATCATCCATTTCATCGGGGAGTTCTGGGGGAGTTGTTGGCGCGAATGAAGGGAGCTAAGGGGGTTATAAGGGATCGGGAAATTGATTTGTCAATTTGAATTGAATTATTTGGTGGATGATCATCATCAGAAATCGTATAATGAGATACATTTTCTTCGTGAGAAGATAAGGAAATCTTGTCTCTTCAAGTATTAGGATAAGGTTCCTTCATCCAATATTTGGTGACCCAAAAATATATATCTCTTGCACCATCTCATCAATTATAATGAGGCATCACGATTGGCGGAAGGATGGGTCTCTGAGGCCATGAGACCATGAATTGAAGGGAGAATTTGATTGATATCGACAATTGAGATTCTCAGGGAAATCCATACCCTTGGACGCTGATGTTCGCCCGATCGTCATGGGCCAATGGGTTCCGACCTTCGGAAACTTGTCTTCAAGACTACTTTTCTGATGGACAAATATTTAATTCATGAATTTTTGATCCCTTCCCTTTGCAGATGACGATGGGAATCTCATCTGGGGCAGAGGCCATGGTCCACATGACCCGAATATGGATTCGAGATAAAAACCATCGACGGGATTATCTTCTCTTGCAATGGGGCGTATCTAATATATTTAATGAAGTATTTTCCTACGAATTGTTGAACGAATATTTCACTTATATTCCCATTTCTCCCATTTCAAATAAATTCGCAGAATATTCTTATGGAATCCCCAATAATTTGATATCTCATGAATATCTTCTCCAATTAAATCGAGGACAATAAGGATATCCATTATTGGGGTCTCTTTTCTATCTCATTCGTCGTCGGATGGGAGAAGAAATCCGGACGAAATTTGAAGGACCATCGCCTGGATTCGATCCCGAATATATCGACGATGATTTAATGGCGATACTCTCTCGTCCATGGATTTCCTTCGATAAATTCGGAATCGATTTAGGCTTCTCGAAAATTATTCTTTATCTTCTCGAGGGAGAAAATTTTCAAGGAGATTTATGTCGGACTTGGGGGATCATATCGTGTTGGGGCGTGATATTCTGATGGTATAAATCCCGATTGCTGGCATATCCGATCATTTTGCGATATGGATCCAGGATATATAATCGGAAATGACGAGAATCTTCGAGGCAATAGAATAATTCCAAAAATGATATGTGGCCTTCCATATTCTTCAAAAATATTTGGGATTTCCTTTCCTATTATTATCGTAATATATCTTATTCGAATATAGATTCGTTTCTCCTATGGTATGCTCGTCGTATGCGGGAATCATTCTCATATATTTTCGGATGGGAAATGGACGATTCTCAATGATATCAAATTATTTTGCCATCCAAATTTGGAGGCCTTGGATTGATGGATGGACAAGTATTGATTGGAGAATCGATGATATCATAAATTGATATCGCTTATATTAATTCGTGGAAATAGTTCACATCGAAAATCGCGATATTATTACCAATTGGAACTGAAGATAATGGGGAGGGGGGGGGGACAATCCATTCATAATATGATGATTATTCTCCTTATATTTTTCCTCGATCTGGAATATGATGACCATCCGAAATCATTTCATCTCGTATTCAAATTACAAATTGAAATAGCCGACCAACTTTTATGGATGATAAATCCCCCCGATTGGGAATATTTGCACGTCACTCGGGCCCGATGAATATGTGGATAGATTATCTCGACCCCATCATTGATTGAATATTCCTTCTTGACTATTATTGTATTTTCGGATTCTGAATCATTATGATTAGGCAAGATAATCTTCCAATAGGATGAAGATTTCCATTCTACCATAAGAGAATGATGTATGGGAATATCAAATCTTATCTGATATACGAACCTTATCTAGCACGAATAGAATTCTATACTAAATATCATAATATACTTCGTGATTGTATCTATCATTTGGCGTAGGAAACCGATTTGAGACACCAATTGGAGGTCCCGATATTTTTATCCGATGCTTCGTAACGACGATTCGTGGATAGAATCCTGCCATCTTCAATATTCTGCTGAAGTGGAGAAGCAGCTCCATGTGAACAGCTTAAGCCCAGGTCGAAGTGCGATCGTTGTGAATTGCAGAACTCCGGCCAACCGTGGCTCAAGCGATGAGGTGCACAAATCGAGAAGTGTACCGCTGGCTTGTAAGGGTTTGGGCCTTCTTGGGGGAAGTGAGGGGTTGTTGGGTTTGGGAGGGGTCTTCCGGTTTTCGGTTGCCCTTAGTCCTCAAGCCCTTAGGTCCCGTTAGTACCCCATTGAGGAAGGAAGGTTTGAAGTTGAGTTATTTTGTTCGGGGGGTTTGATTTCAGGGTCTAGGGAAGATCAGCATGGCATCCCCTGCGCAAGATGACACGGCACAGAATCGAGAAGTTTCTGTTCATCAGGTTATGACCGCCCAAGTTAACGCTGATCCTGCTGGAACTTCGCTCGAAGGTGAAACCCACGGCCCTCAGTATGCTGGAATGTGCAATGGAACATCTGGCGGCAGAGAAGCTGTGGGCACAGAGAGGGAGGGCCGAGCTGGGCCTAGGGGAGCACCCCAACCGGAGGCCTTAGCGCCAGGTCAGTCGTGTGGATCCACTTATGGGACAATGGGCTCAGCAGTGGGTTTGGCAAGTGGTGCAATGGTTCCGATAGTTGGTGGTGCAAGGTCCGTAAGCAGCAGTGAGATGGCAATTGGAGCGATGGTGAGTGCTGGATGTAGTTCTGGCAACGAGCCAACGATGGAGATGGCTCCTGGCATGCCCTTGAATGCTATCATCAACGCTTCGCAATTGCCACCAGCAGAGCATGTGCAGTTTCCGGAAGATGTGCTAGCAGCTCAACTTTCTGGTGCGGCACATGTTGGAGAAGTGGCAAGCTCAGGGCCAACGAATCCGATGATGCGCTGGATGAGGAGGAGACTGCATGAAGTGTTGGAAGGATTTCAGAGACGGGGTGAGGCCTTTTCAGGTTTCCAGACGCCGCCACCTGCATGGATGTATCCTTCTCCTTGTCCGTCGCCGATGGAACGAGCCTCGCCACCAAGCAGACCGCGAGCTGAGACTTTGTGGACTCAGCAGCAATGGGAAAGGGTGCAAGCCATGGAGCAAGAGGCTCCCTTGCTGCATCCCCCACGACGTGAAGTTCCGCGTGAATCTGCAAGTACCTCAGATGTTCCGTCAGATGTGGTTCAGGAAGAGGTCAGACGGCAGATGGCGGGTGTGATGAGCATGCTGAAATCTTCGCAAGATGAGGTGCGGAGGTTGACGGCAGCGCTGGACAAGCGAAGGGCAATGGATGGGAGAGAGCAGCGGGAGGAAGGAGATGGCCGCCTACCACAACAAGAAGGCGCTCATGCTCGCAATCTAGCTGGACTTTCTGGACCAGGAGGCAATTCCTTGTTCCCATCAATGCCAGAGGTTCGTCAAGCAGGTGATCCTTCTCCTGGGCTTGGAGGTCAAGGAAGGGAAGAGTATCCTCATGTAGGAGGAAGGAGTGGCCTACCACAACAAGGAGGCGCTCCTCGCAATCTAGGTGGACTTTCTGGACCAGGAGGCTATAATGCACATCCGAGCACTACGTCACCGTCGGGAATGCCTTCTAGTTCCAGACCAATGCCAGAGTCGGGGGTAAGGCAGCAGCAAAGTGCGACAGCGCCCACGGCAAAGGCAGATCCATTGAACGTCTTGGTCACTGGCATGCAGCAGTTACAAGCGGCTATGCTGAGGCAGATAGGTTCGCAATCCCAACAAACCCCAGAGATTGTGAAACCGGGATCGGCTGTGCTACCGTCGCTACCATCTCCAACGGAATCTGCTCCGATAGATTATCAAGACTGGGTGTCGTTGCTGCAAACGTATATGGCAGATCTGAGCGACTCGAGCGGCGAATGGTGGGCTCGCATCATGGAGTGTGTGAACAGGGCCTACCAAGAGTACCTCAGGTCAACTCCTTATGAGCGACTCACCCTGCAACCTGAGGAACCACCGGAGCTGATCACTGGACAGTTTTCACGAGTACATGCACGAGCAGCACATCTGATTTTAGCAGCACTGGCAACAGAGGTCAAGTCGGAGCTGGTCGCATCACGAAAGACAACTGTGATTCAAGCGATGTTCAGGCTCACTATCTTGTACCAGCCGGGAGGAGAAGGAGAACGGCAGTTGATCCTCTCAAAGCTGACTACGCCAACTTCGGTGACTACGCCAGCAGAATTGGTAGTGGTGCTTCGTGAATGGGAACGATGGCTCCGGCGGGCCAAGGTGATTGGTTTGTCCACGCCAGATCCCTCCATTCTGGTGGCTGGTTTGACGAATTTGATGAGGTCCTTGTTATCTGCAAATCAGGAAGCGCAATTCCGGACCTCGATGATACGGAGCAACTTGATGATCGATCAGGTCCCAACACAGGAGGGAGTGATGAAGCTGCATCAACATTTGTTGTCAGAAGCGGAGCAGATGGCTACAGGTGGGGATGCTAGAAAGGGAGGAAAAGGGACGGCTTCTTCCTCCGAGTCTCCAAATCCGAAGCTGAGAGGGCTTACAACACCTACTGCGTCACCGAGCGAAAGGCCGCCCAAGAACCCTCAAGCAAAACCAAAGGCCTGCAAATTCTTCACCTCAGAGAGTGGATGCATGAAGGGCCAGGAGTGCAAGTTTGGGCATGAGTTCAAGGAGCTGCCGGACAAGAAGGATAGGTGTTGGAAATGTGGTTCGAAGAAACACAGGGCAGCAGCATGCACAGCGGGGCAATCACCGACCTCTCCAACTGCTAAAGCAGGACCTCCGAAGGATCCATTGCCGAAGGGACAGCCAGCCCTAAGAGGACAAGCAACTTCTTCCTCATCGGTGCCTCCGTCGCCATGTGAACCGCCAGGGCTGACGGGAGGTGAGACTTCGGCAACTGCAACCTCAGCGCCAGCTCCAATAGCAGCAGCATCGGCAACCACGACGAGCAGCTCATCCATTCCAATGACCGCTCAGCCTAAGGCATCCAATCCTACGTTGTAGTCATTGACGAATCTGGAACCACAAGAGCTGCTGAGGATGCTTCGGCTACAAGAGCAAATCGATGAACTGAGGCGACTGCAAGCGATCTCGTTGGAGGAGGAGCCGTTGGATGAGTTCAGGAGAACACATTTGATGGCTCTGAAAGAGGCGGAGCCGCTCAAGGAGAGATTTGCTCTCCTGGACAGTGGAGCAACACATGCGTATCGTGGGGCACAAGAGGGCGAGTTGGACTGGGCCAGGACGGTCAAGGTGAATTTGGCGGGAGGACAAAGCAAAGAGCTCAAGCAGAACCCGGGTGGAACGCTACTTGGGGAAGAAGGCTCAGATGCAATCTTGCCATTGGGGAAATTGGTACGCTTGCTGAACTGTGAGGTACACTGGAACCCGAGAAGCCTCGTGATAAAGCATCCAGAGTTTGGAAAGCTGCGAGTACGTGTTCGAAATGACTGCCCGGAGGTGGTGGAGACAGAGGGTTTGAGGATCATCTCCGAGTTAGAACAGAAGAGGTTGTTGTCGTTCACGGCCGCGATGGATGCGTTTGAGGAGCAGGTGGCAGCAATGGAGGTGGGCCTGGATCAAAGCTGGGAGCGCTGGATGAACGTGTTCCTGAAAACCGGAAGCAGAGTATCGTGCACAGGCTTGCTGCAAACACTCCCGTTCTTGAATGACATGCCGATGAGCTTGATTGGAAAAATTGCAGAAGAAGTTCCAGTCACAGACAAGGATGGTTGGAAATTGCTGAAGAAATTCCCATGGAATCGAAGTCGGCGAAAACAACTATGGGCCTCGAGGCGTTGGGTAGTGCATGTGTATGCTGGAAAAACAAGGCCTCAGGATGACATCAGCAAGCTAGAAGGGCACCATGGAATGGTAGTGATCTCAATCGACTTGGAGGACAGTAGATCCTTCAACATGGACGAGCAGGGAAGTATCTTCCAGCTGTTGATGTGGGCAGCGCTGTCAGGGCGTTTGGAAGAGATCCTTGGAGGACCGCCGTGTCGAACGGCAAGCATGGTCCGAAGCCTTTGAGATCGTTTGAGAACTTCCTGGGAATCGCGGGCTTGTCAGACAAGGATCAAGCTAAGGTGGATCTAGACACGAGGCTGATAGTCCGAATGATGGTCTTGTTCACGGTTGCACAAAGGAGCAGGCACTCAAGCTGGATTGCCAGACCGTCATGGACAAGACCTCCGGGAACTGGGTTTTTGCTTGAACATCCGGCGTCCCCGAGAACCTACTTGAAGGAGAACAATCCCCTCTACCACGTTGCACCTTCGGTGTGGGACTCGGACTTCATGAAGAAATTCCTCGAGTTTGCAGGTTTGAGCATATACACCTTCGATCAAGGGTGCCTGGGACATCAAGCGGTCAAACCGACAACGATAGCCACGAATCTAGCGTTGGAGCACTTGCATGGGAGAAAGGCGACTATGTTTCAACCAAGTCAAGTGGCATCTTCGAAGGACCTGGCAAGATGGGCACCGAAGTTGGTGGAGGAAATCGCCAAGGCGATAAAGGCCTGGGCTGGAAGGTGGGGAGTTGAAGGAGACGAAGAAATATGCCTGGATGAGGAGCATGAGTTACATCGACTCTCCAAGAATGTTCGCGAGGAATGGCAGATTCATCTACAACGAGACCATTATCCTTTCAGGCAAGATTGCCGGGAGTGCATAAAGTTCTTGGCAAATGGAAGGTCCCACAGAGCTGTGAGCCATCCTTTTCCGTTTGTGCTTCACCTGGACATCTGCGGGCCGATGAGAGTGAAGGGGAGGTCGATATTCGGGGCAAACCATAAGTACCTCTTGGTGGGCGCTTTCAGATACCCCAAAATCGCTCAAACCCCTCCACCAGACCCAGAAGAAGGTGAAGATCCTGCTTTGGTCGGCCTGTTTGAAGAGAAGGAAGACAAGCGAGTGCAGGAAGATGAGGTAGCAAAGCCTCCAGCGAATCCCGAAGCTCCTGAACAAGAAGATGCAGTTGACCGAGAACTACAAGAGCTAAGGGAGCCATTTGAGTATGACGTTGCCTACTTCACCAAGCCGTTGAAGTCACGGATAGCCTCTGAGGTCCTGACCCGAGTTCAGGAGATCTGTGCGGAGGTCAAGTTGATGGGCTTCCCGATCCTAAAAATCCACTCGGACAGGGCGAAGGAGCTTTCATCTACGCCATTTCGGGCCTGGATGTCTTCGCAAGGGATCGTGAGGTCAGCCACAGAAGGAGAGGATCCAGCAGCCAATGGCGTTGCAGAAGCAGCAGTGAAGTTTGTGAAAGGAAGAACAAGAATCCTGATACAAATGCTGGCGAATCAAATTGGTGAGGAAAAGGCCAAGTCGTTTTGGCCACTGGCAGCACATACGGCGGCGGTGCAGCAAAGAATGAGGAGGTGTTTGCGACCATGGCCATCCATAGCGGCGTTTGGCTCTAAGGTCCTGATCAAAACCAAGCATTACGGCGTCAGCAAGAGCAACGATTTGGCGCCAAAGAGGATTGAGGGCCATTACCTGGGACCATCGCCAGATGTCACCAATGGACATGTGGTCTGGACAAAGAAGGGGAACTTGTGGCAGACGACTTCGTTGCGGACGCCAAGGGATCCAGAACCAGAAGCAGAGATGTCTGTTCACGAAGAAGATGTGTTGACTCCGCTACCTCAACCGAGAAGAAGGCTGACATCGAAGACTACACTGTCTGGCATTTGGGTGGAACCTGAGCTGACAACGATGTGTGGCTTGGAAGGGTCAGGGGAGGAAGCGGAGTTACAGGCGTTGGCAACCGTGGGATCCAAGGAAGGGATTGGTGGAAGGGCCAAAGGGTTGGAAGACATCATGGAAGATGAGAGACTGTGCAAGGAGTACTTCAGCCAGGCGAGGTTCTCAAGGGAGGATGCAGTGCAGTTGCTG